GGGGGGGGGGGCGCCCGGAGACCCAGGGGCCTGGCGCACCTGCCCCCTGCTGTGCAACCGGGAGGAGGTCGGGCGCCTTGCGAGTCTGGCCAGGGACGCGGCTGGGCAGGCCTTCCGCAAACCCGGCGCAGGCTGGGGCGCTCCCGCGGCCGGGCTCGCTGCTTCCCCGTCCCCAGAGCGCACGCGGGGAGACGCGGCTCCGCACCGGCTCGCTCCTCCGCGGGCTGATGCTGCAGCGCCAGGCACCGCGTGGGGCGCAGGCGGGAGCACGGGTTCTGCGGGCTGGGCGCGGGCTTGTCCGTGCCCGCTGCTCCCGGCGGCCGCCTCCCGAGTGACGCCTTGCTCACGGGAAGCGCCGGGCACACGGTCTGCGCAGCTCGGCCTGACCGGCGGAGCAGCCCCCCGCCCCGCGGCCCCCACGTTTCACAACCTCCGCTGGGGAAAGGCACGGCTTGGGGCATCTCTGTGTGGGGCAGCTCTGCCCTGCTTGAGCCTCGACCTCCCCACAAGGACGAACCGGGGCAGAAGTGCCCGGAGATGGGCAGGCAGTCCCCGCTGCGCCCTCGCCCGACGCCTGCGCCCTTCAGGGGGAGGACGCGTAGAACTGCCCGGAGGGGAGTGTGCCGGGGCACGAAGGGGCCGAAGCAGCTTTAGGGGCTCAGTTTCCTGCATTAAGATTTGCTGTGGCTGCCGCCTCTGGTGGGACCTTTCCGAGGTCCATCTCTGGCAGGGATCAGCCAGGGGTTCCTGGGGGGCCAACGGCCGGACTTCCCAGCATCACCGTTGTGGTCGTGAGGCCCGTGCCCTGCATCTCACGAGGACCGAGGATGCCGAGATCTCCCGTTCTGTCCTGCCCAGGGATGGCTCTCTGGCTCAGCTGTTCAAGGGGCTGCACCCCATCTTGCCCGCCACATTTCAGACCTCACATGCAGGCATTTTCTCCTCACTGGGGCCAGACTTGGGGGCTTGCACGGCGCTTGCACGGCGCTGAGAACTCCAGGGAGGACGGCCCTCTCTGCCCCCTCCGGGGAAGGCCAGCTCAGCCCGGCAGGGCGCGAGCACCGGGCCGGCCGTGTGGTGGGGCTGGGCCATGGCGGCGGCACCGGTGGGCCAAGCAGTGCCCACCAGCCCTCCCTTTGTCGCCCCCCAGGCTCCCCTCACCGCTTGCTGAAGTACTTCGAAATGCCCGGAGTCACCAACTACACGGCCATGGCACTGAGCCCGGACAGCGCCACCCTGTACGTGGGGGCCCGGGAGGTGCTGCTCGCCCTCGACACCAGCTCCTTCCCCCCCGGACCACAGCACCAGCGCGTGAGTGCCAGGCCCCTCCCCTGCCAGCGCTGCGCGCGAACCGTTGCAGCCGGCACCACTGGCTGGCCCGCAGTCGGCTGGGCAGCAGGTCCTGCCGGTCCCGGCACCGGCCCGTGTGGGTGGCCCCTCGGCACGGGCAGCAGGGCAAGTTCAGTGCCCCCGGCCTGGCCGGGGGAGAGCAGTAAGGGGAGTGGGAGCTTGCTAAGCTCTCATTTTAAAGCGAATTTACCCAATTTTGCACGATCCTATTAGTGTGCAAATTCAGCCTTCTCCAAATGTCTCAGCGGCGTTCTCAGAACAAAAAGTGTATACAAAATTGTGTGTGTGTGTGTAGTGGGCAAAGATGCCTATCTTATTTTAGGAGTGTGCGTAGAAGTGCTTAAAAGTACTTTTAAAAGAGAGCGATCCTCATTGTCAGGATGGATGAAACAAGAGCAGTGAAAGGAGCGGCTGCGATGAAGTCGGGGTGCCCGTCCCTCACCCACCCCTTCGCGCAGTGCTTGGCTTTAGGTGCTGCATGTGGCAGCCGGAGAGTTTTGACTTTTAACAAAAACCTGTGTGGCCAAAACTGCCAGATGGGAATGAACGAACTTCTAGCAGCCAGAGAAGGTCTGAGCCTCCGTTCTCTTGACCCAGCTGCTGCCCCTACAGTGGGAGCTGGCTGAGAGTGCCCTCGAGGCACAGGGATGCTTCGCCTGGAGGGCGGCCGCTTTGTGGTCAGGAGATGTCCTGCGTACCCAGCCCTGGTGTGGGCACAACCGGCCAGGCACCGCTGCGCCCGGCAGTCTGCCAGGCGAGGTGGGCCCCCTGCAGGGAGGAGAGAGGCCCGCGGGGGTGCCGGCGGAGGGCTGCTGGGCTGGAGCCAAGCTGCACCGGGGCGAGTCGCTGTCCCTGTGCCTAGCTGCCGGGCGGTGATTTTGCTAAAAGCCGGGCCGGAGGCCTTGGGGCGGCTGCCCGGCCCCCACTAAGCGCCCCTCCCTTCCCTGCAGCTGCTGTGGGGTGCGGAAGAGGAGAAGAAGCGGCAGTGCATCTTCAAGGGCAAGGACCCCCAGGTGAGGGCTGCTTCTGCACCGCCTGTGCACGGGGGGAGGCAGCTCTGCTGGCCGGGCTCCACACGGCCGGCTGTGGGCTTGGAGGCTTGGCTTGGGGGCTGGCTGTGCGGAGCACGGGACGCTCCCAGAGCTACAGGCTGGCCCAATGGCTCTCCGTCCCTTGCAGAGAGACTGCCACAACTACATCAAGATCCTGCTGCAGATGAACAGCACCCACCTGTACACCTGCGGGACCAGCGCCTTCAGCCCCACCTGCACCTACATCGTGAGGACTGGGAGGGCCCTGGCGGCGTGACTGGCCCGTGCACCGGCTGGGCCGTGCCACAAAACGTTTGGGTGGGATCGCCAGCCCAGCCCAGCCATCCCGAAGTGAGGCCCCTCCCTCCTGCTTTGACGGCAGCTGGATGTGGCTTGCCGGGGGTTCCGCAGCCTCCCTGGGAGGCTCCCAGGGGAAGGCAGAGCCGCTGGCTGGGCAGGGCCCTGCGTGCCGGGGCAGCCGCTGGCCTGTGGAGGCAAGCACCTTGCGCCGCTCCGTGCTGAGCCGGCTGAAGCGCCTTGGGCTCCGGCTGCAAGCCCATGCCAGCCTGGCCCAGCAGCTTCCAGTTTGCTCCCTGCCCCCCTCAGCCCCGCTTGCAGCCGGAGCGCTGGAGCCCTTTTCAGAGGTGCTCCCGGGGGCCACACGCCAGAGGTGGCCAGAAGCCCGACATGGACTGGTTTCGGGCCCCTCTGCTAGCAGCTGCGCTTTCAGAGGGGCATTTCCGCTTTTTAGGATGGTGGGAAAGCAACCCGAAGTCAGTAAGCTCCCTCCTCGGCAACCCCAGGCTCACCGGGGCCCCGGGAAGGCAGGGGCTGGCCTGGTGCCGGAGCTCCTGCCCGAGAAAATGAGCAGCTGGCATGTGCCGTCCAGGCCAGCCTTCTGTTTGTGCAGCGGCTGCCCTGCGGTCCAGGGGGTGGCCCTGGGCAGGCCCACAGGCGGCGCCCGGTGTGAGGAGACGGCTCGGGGCAGGGGCCTCCGCGCCACGCTGCCTCCGTCCTCAGCCAAGCCGCGCTGTCCTGCACTGGGGGCCGGCCTTCCTCGCCCGTTGGCGCAAGTGTCGGCATCCTCCTTGGGAATCGGGCCCGCAGCCTGGTGCCCTCATTGTGGCATCTCCCCCACAGCACATCCCAGACTTCAGTCTGGCCCAAGAGCCTTCCGGGAAGGTGCTGCTGGAGGACGGGAAGGGGCGCTGCCCCTTTGATCCGGAGTACAAGTCCACGGCCATCATCGTAGGTAAGAGGTGCCCGGGCCGGGGGCGGGGGGGCAGTCTGTGGGGCTTGTGGCGAAGGAGCCACGAGATTTGGGTGCTGCAGGACCAGCAGGTGGGCGAGTGGTGGGACACCCCATCCCGCCATCTCCGGCTACGCGGGCAGCTGGGCCTCCGCCGGGGGAGGCCGTTGCTCTCCTGGGCGGCACGGGGCAGGCAGCAGGTTGGGCGACCCCGTCAGCGCCCTGCCCCGGCCGTGACGGGCGCGCCCTTGCAGATGGCGAACTGTACACGGGGACGGTGAGCAACTTCCAGGGCAGTGAGCCAACCATCTTCCGAAGCCATGGCAGCCGCCCGGCCATCAAGACGGAGGTCTCCCTCAACTGGCTGCAAGGTGTGTGGAGCCGGGATGGGCCGCAGGTGGGCGGTGCCGTTGCGTGGCCCTTTGGCTCAGCCCGTCAGGCCAAGCGGGCCTTGCACTCTGGGGCAGCGAAACCTGCTCTGGGGCTCCTGGTGTCCTGCGGTGGCTCAGTCGCAGCTTCGGGATGTGTTGTCCCACATGGAAAATGTGTGCGAGAAACCACCTGGCAAAGGATGCTTGCGAGCTCCATTCCAGTGGGGGTGGGACAAGCTCTGTCATTCCAGGCCTTAAAGTAGGCACGGAGGACCTCTTTGCTTGCTGATGCCTCTCCGGATTCCAAGCATTTCATTTGGGGTACAGCCTGGGGGGCAGAGGGGTTTGGTGAGCCCTGCCTGTTGGGTTGAGCATTGTTTTAATGCTGCTGCCATTTAAGAGTATTGCAATTGTAGGATTGTTTTAATGGTGCTGTATTTATATCTTGTTATAAATGATGTTGTGTATTTTTATAAGCTGCCTCGCAAGAAAAAATCTAAGAGGTAAGATGTTGTTGTTGCTAGTTGCGAAGTCGTGTCTGACCCTTCACAACCCCATGGACAACATTCCTCCAGGCCTTCCTGTCCTCCACCATCCCCTGGAGTCCACCTCAGCTCACGCCGACTGTTTCAGTGACTCCATCCAACCACCTCATCCTCTGCCGTCCCCTTCTCCTTTTGCCATCCATTGTTCCCAGCATTGGGCTCTTCTCCAGGGAGTCCGTCCTTCTCGTTAGGTGGCCAAAGTATTTGAGTTTCATCTTCAGCATCTGGCCTTCTTTTTATTTTTTTTAATAAATTTTATTGTTTTCTCTACAATCTAACTTTAAAAACAATGGTTATTTAAGACATCAGATATCTTCCTCATTTTAACAGTCGGTAGTCATATTCAGATCTACACATAGTCCCGTTTCTCTAACTGATAGTAAAAAGAGTTCCAAATTTGGTAGAGATATGCATCCTCCTTTTCCTTCAGAGACAAGATCGATCTGTCCCTTTCCATGCAGTCCAAAATCCTTTTTAAGATCAGCTCTTCAGTGTGTGGCTCTTCACTCCTCCCATAGTGAGCAAATAAAATCCTTGCCACAGTAATTACATGTAAGAACAAATATATGGTCTATTTATCAATATCATTAAGAATAATATATAATAGAAAAAAGAGAAAAGTCTTCAGGTTTAAATTTGTGTTTAGATTTCCAACATCTAATTGACATATTTGAAAACATTTTTACTAATCTTAGCAATAAGAACTATCTATAAGTCATTTATGTCTATCTATCTAACTATAAAACTTTTATATAGGTTTTCTTTATGTGAAGTTACTAAGATTACCTTAATATTTCTTTCCCACAATAAGAACTATCTATAAGTCATTTATGTCTATCTATCTAACTATAAAACTTTTATATAGGTTTTCTTTATGTGAAGTTACTAAGATTACCTTAATATTTCTTTCCCACAACTGTTACCGTTTCTATAACTCCATGTTATGTCCAACATTTTATGCCTTTATTATCATTTCCTTAACTCATTTGTCTTTCACTTTTATACCCAAAAAGAAGTTATACAATCCTTTAATCATTCTTTCATCCAATGTTGAAATCATTTAATCAAATGTTACTAATTCCTTTATAAGATTATATATCTTAACATATCTCGATCATATTTGAACTTTATGCCACCAAGAAATGTCATTACCCTTACCGCATATAAGCATGCCATCCCATTTATAAATCATATACTTCAAGATATAAAATTCCCTTAGAATTATCCATTCTCCCTCGGAAATTTATGACTTCTAACATAGCTTGACTCTATAAACCAGGTCAGATTGTTTATCAGTCTCTTCTTTTTCCGATACAAGAGCATGTGTTAGCATAATGTTTATTAAACCATTTAGGTTTTCGGTTTTTGCTTCTAGTTTGTTCTGAAATCTCTCCAATATGGCAACTGAATCCCATAATGACTTATTTGTTTGTGTTAGTTGTTGCTTCTCTTGAGCCATCTTTTCAATTTTCTCTTCAAAAACTTCAGCCTTCTTTTTCACTTGTATCTTTTCTTCATTTTGTTTTATTTTAATACCAGAACCTGCAAGTTGATTCATTATCTTCAAGACATAGCTATCCAATTTATCCAGCCTTTCCTTTTGTTCCAAAGCAAATTCTTGCATAGTGTTTTGCACAGACTCTTGAGATGCTTGTATTGCCAAAAGTGTTGTTTGTAAGCCTTGAGAAGCAGACATAGGTGCCAAAGATGATAGGTGAATTTTATCCATGATGAAAGTAAAAGGTTTAATTAAAACAGTTTTTTAAATAACCTGTTGTGGTACTAAATAGCCACTAAATAGCAGCAAAAAATCACAAAGAGAGGAAAATAAGGGATTTTTTTTTTTTTTTTTTTTAGCAAACAATGTATCTGTTAAAGAACAAAATGACCACAGGGGTGGCAGCAAAAGTTATTTGTTAGTATAACAAAGACAAAAAGATCTTCAACCGTACAGGAGCTGGAAAAATCAGATCGCCATGACTCTGAAAGGGAAAATGAAAGAAAGAAAGCTTTTTCTACCAATTAATGTACGATAAGTTCAAATTTAATTCTTTGGCCTTGGAGAAATTAAACATAGAAAAAATCTCTTCCCTTCCAAGTCTCAAATTTCCCCAGTTTCACTTAATCTCCCCTCGATTTGTCGCTCAGCCAAAGGGCCTTTCTTTTGTTATTCAGATTGATGGTTATTTCACAGGTTCTTTCAGGGGCAGTATTTTGAAAGGTTTAATTGCTCACCCAGCAGGTCCAATGGCTATTAATCCTGCACAGCTTGTGAGGGGAGGGTACACCCCTCTCTCTCCATTCACTGAGATTTCTCCCGAATTTCTCCTGGGGGTGGGGGACTGCTGCCCCCCACCAGGCAGAAGTATGCTCGGGCTACTAATCCCTGCCCCGACAGGGCCCCCTGTAGAACGGATTTCGACATGGAGAACGGAGTCCCCGTTCTCCACAGCCGTCTCGCCGCGACATCAACCGGAAGTCCGTATCTGGCCTTCTAAAGCGCAGTCAGGGTTGATCTCCTCCAAGATTGACTGGTCTGATCGCCTTGCAGTCCAAGGGACTCGCAGGAGTCTCCTCCAGCACCACAATTCAAAGGCCTCAATTCTTCAGTGCTCAGCCTTCCTTATTTTATTTATTTATTTATTTATTAAAACATTTTTATGCCGCCCCATTCGCCGAAGCCTCGGGGCGGCTTACAACAATAAATTAATATAAACATTAAATGGTCCAGCTTTTACAGCCATACATTGCAACTGGAAAAACCATAGCCTTGACTATACGCACTTTTGTCGGCAGGGTGATGTCTCTGCTTTTTAGTATGCTGTCTAGATTTGCTATAGCTTTCTTCCCAAGGAGCAAGCATCTTTTAATTTCTTGGCTGCAGTCACCGTCTGCGTTGATCTTGGAGCCCAGGAAAATAAAATCTGTCACTGCCTCCATTTTTCCCCATCTATCAGCTTGAATACTGTCGCCTCCACTAGCTTTGTTGTTGCTCAGACTTCTGAAGGCCCATTTGACTTCACATTCCAGGATGTCTCGCTTGAGGTCAGTGACCACCCCATCGTGGTTATCAGGGACGTTAAGGTCTTTCTTGTACAGTTCTTCTGTGTAATCTTGCCATCTCTTCTTTATCTTTTCTGCTGCTGTTAGGTTTTGGTCCTTTACCTTGCTCATCTTTGCATGAAATGTTCCATTCATATCTCCAATTTCTTGAAGAGAGCTCTAGTCTTTCCAATTCTATTGTTTGCTTCTATTTCTTTGCACTGTTCATTTAAGAAGGCATTCTTATCTCTTCTAGCTATTCTCTGGAATTCTGCATTCAATTGGGTGTATCTTTCTCTTTCTCCCTTGCCTTTCGCTTCCCTTCTTTCCTCAGCTATTTGTAAAGCTTCCTCAGACAGCCATTTTGCTTTCTTGCATTTCTTTTTCTTTGGGATGGTTTTAGTTGCTATCTCCTGTACAATGTTGCGAACCTCCGTCCACAGTTCTTCAGGCACTCTATCAGATCTAATTCCTTAAATCTATTTGTCACCTCTACTGTATATTCATCAGGAATATAATTTCGGTCATACCTGAGTGGCCTAGTGCTTTTCCCTACTTTCTTCAATTTAAGCCTAAATTTTGCAACAAGAAGCTCATGATCTGAGCCACAGTCGGCTTCTGGTCTTGTTTTACTGCCTGTATAGAGTTTCTCCATCTTTGGCTGCAGAGCACATAGTCAATCTGATTTCTGTGTTGACTGTCTGGTGATGTCCATGTGTAGAGTCATCTCTTGGGATTCTGGAAAAGAGTGTTTGCTATGACCATCCTGACAAAATTCTACCAGCCTGTGCCCTGCTTCATTTTGTACTCCAAGGCCAAACTTGCCTGTTATTCCGGTTATCTTTTGGTTTCTTACTTTAGCATTCCAATCCCCCATGATGAGGACATCATTTTTTGGTGTTAATTCTAGAAGGTGTTGTAGGCCGTCATAGAACCGGTCAACTTCAGCCTCTTCAGCACCAGTGGTTGGGGCATAGACTTGGACTACTGTGATGTTGAATGGTTCACCTTGGTTTCGAACTGAGATCATTCTGACATTTTGGAGATTGTATCCCAGTACTGCTTTTCCTACTCTTTTATTGACTATGAAGGCTACTCCATTTCTTCTGAGGGATTCTTGCCCGCAGTAGTATACCTGATGGTCATTTGAATTAAATTCACCCATTCCTGTCCATTTTAGTTCACTGATTCCTAAGATGTCGATGTTCAGTCTTGTCATCTCTTGTTTGACCACATCCAGCTTGCCTTGATTCATGGATCTCACATTCCAGGTTCCTATGGAGTATAGATCTTTGCAGCATCGGACTCTCCTTTCACCACCAGATGCATCTGCAACTGAGTGTCCTTTCGGGTTTGACCCAGTCGCTTCATTCTTTCTGGCGCTACTAGTACTAGCCCTCTGCTCTTCCCCAGTAGCACACTGGACACCTTCCGACCTGAGGGGCTCATCTTCCGGCGTCATATCTCTTTGCCTGTTGATACTGTCCATGGGGTTTTCATGGCAAGGGTGCTGGAGTGGGTTGCCATTTCCTTCTCCCGTGGATCACCTTTTGTCAGAGCTCTGTGCTATGACCTTTCTGTCTTGGGTGCCCCTGCACAGCTTAGCTCATAGCGTCTTTGAGCCCCTTTGCCATGGCAAGGCAGTGATCCATGAAGGGGAGGCGAGAGGTACATTTAGTATCTAAAATGGGAAAAATAAGTGGGCTGGATCCATAAAGCATGGAGGGGTTGCGGCAGTGCATGTTTTGGTGTGGAAGTGTGTCCCCCGCCTCCTGTCCACCTCTTGCGCACCCACAACTACTCTCTGAGTGGTTGTTTTTGCTGGTTCAGCTAATGCAAATGTTACGGCAGGCTTGGAATCCTGAAACTTAGATGGTGTCGCTGTTGCTGCTTTTGTGGGTAAATAACGTAAGAAAAGGGGATAGAGGTGAGCGAAGCTTCCAGCTGTAGGGAAAAAGGCGGGTGGAAAGCAGCAGGTGTGGGAAGAAGGCGGTGGGAGAGGCGAGAGGGGACAGGCAGCGGAGGAAGCAAAGGGGTGGACGCAGGTGGCATTCGCCACACGCGTCACAGAACTCGGGACCTGCCCTCTCTGGGCTCTTAGGGGATCTGTGAAGGGGATTTGTAGGCGCCTGGAATCAATGGGGTTTGGGCCGGTTCTGGCCTCGCATGCTGCCATTGGCAACATGCCCAGCCGGACTGGGCTGGACTCTCGTTTGGGTGAATGGGACGGAGAGGAAGGCAGGCAGGCAGGTTCTCACCTGCATACCTTTTCGGCCCAGACCCCCTCTTCATGGGCTCAGCCTACCTGCGTGAGAGTCTCCCAGCCAGCAGCCCCCCCAGGGACGATGACAAGGTGTACTTCTTCTTCAGCGAGAGTGGCAAGGAGTTCAATTTCTTTGAGGACACCATCGTGTCACGCATTGCACGGGTGTGCAAGGTGAGGGGACCCTTGGCGGACGAGCTCCGTGACTGTTGCCCCACCTCAGCTGGGTGCCGCCTCCTCTGTGGCCCAGCGGTCACTCTGCCGTGTTCGTTAGCTGACCTGGCCGCCCAGATGGCAGCCCGGGATGGTCGGCTGGCCTGATCTTGGAAAGGCGCTCCCCAAAACCACGCTGCTGTCCCAGAGAGGAAATCCACCCCTGTCAGGCGTGAGCTGGGTTCCCACACTCACTTCGTGTGCCGTGTCAGTGCTGGGAGCCAAGTGGCTTAGGGGCACAGCCGCGTACTTCGACTCACAGAACCGAGGAAGGGGGTCCCCGAGCGTGTGGCTCAGTCCAGGCATGGCTCCCCTGCGGAGGGAGAGCTTCCGCGCTGCTCTTTCACGATCCAGACCTGGCTTTCTCCCGAGCTGTCTTAATTGGAAAATAATGCCAGCACCTAGAAAGGAGGGGAGGGACCACCTTTATGGTTGTTGCTAAAGAAATGGGAGTTGGACGCCTGTGCAGCACCCCGGCAGAGCACCCCGACAACTGCCCAGAGACTCCCCTCTGCCCCCTCCACCGGGCAGGGGGCTCAAAGTGCCTCTCCCTTGCCAGCTTGTCCTCAAAGGTTGGGGTGAAGAGAAAGTCCTCCCTCGGGGGCTTTGGCTGGGGCAGAAAGGAGCTGTGGGTACTGGCTCCCCGCCCTGGCCTGGGATCGTTGCTGCTCAGTTTGAAATCCATGGGGGCTGCAGCTTTGGGGGATGCAGCTCTGGACCTGCACCGAAGGATCGCGGTGCATCTCTGGGGGCCCCTGACGCGTTCAGCTGCAAACCAAGCCCGCTTCCTGGATGAACTGGAGGGGGCAGGCATCGCCCTGAGGCGCCTGCGTGGGCACTGGAGCGTCTCCCTCGGGGACTCCGGGGCCGCGCTGCCGCTCACCCTCTCCCCTGCCAGGGCGACGTGGGGGGCGAGCGTGTGCTGCAGCGGCGCTGGACAACCTTCCTGAAGGCCCAGCTGCTGTGCGCGCCGCCCGAGGGCGGCTTCCCCTTCAACGTGCTGCAGGACATCTTCGTGCTGACTCCCGGCGGGCACTGGCCCCAGACCACCTTCTACGGCGTCTTCACCTCGCAGTGGTGAGCTCCGTGCACGTCCGACGGGCCTTGCCCAGCTCCGGAGGGCCGGGCGGCCCCCCGTCGGTGGTGGTGCCTGGAAGAGGGGCTGGTGGGGGGGCGCTGGTGCCCGTCGTGACTCCGGCCTCTCCCCCAGGGGCCGGAGGGGAGCCGCAGTGTGCGCCTTCCCCGTGGCGGATGTGAGGCAAGCCTTCAACGGGCTCTACAAGGAGGTCAATCGGGAGACCCAGCAGTGGTACACGGACACCCGCCCCGTGATGGAGCCGCGGCCGGGAGCGGTACGCCCAAGCCCGTTCCCCCCGTCCCACAGCCGCCTGGACGGCACGACGGGCCCCGGGCAAAGCTGTGTCCCGGGGCCCCGCGACGACGACAGCTATGGCTCACTCTGGACGTCTTCCCGTTTTCCAAGGGTTAACATACACGGCTTAGCATGGGGCCCGCGGGCGTCGAGACGGGCCTGCCTCGCCCCGGGGCTTCCGCCGCCAAGGGACCGGCTGGTTGCGCCCTCGGCGGGCCGGTCCTGAGCACCCCTTTCACGACGTCTCCCCGCAGTGCATCGGCAGCCGTGCGCACCAGATGAAGATCAGCTCTTCCCTGCAGATGCCCGACCGGGTGCTCAACTACCTCAAGGACCACTTCCTGATGAACAGCGCTGTGCGCAGCCACCCCCTGCTCCTGTGCAGCCGCTCCCGCTGCCGGCAGATCAGTGTGCAGCGTGTCCAGGGCCTGCACCGTGCCTACGACGTCCTGTTCCTGGGCACGGGCAAGTGGCAGGCACCTTCCCCTCCCCGGGCCCGGCTCCGGAAGGCAGCTGGGCTGACGAGGCCGCTTTGGGGGCCAGTCCCTGGGGCGGGGGCAAGCGGTTCCTCAGACCTGCCACACGCCAGGGGCTCCTTCCGAGACATCCTGTCCAGACGCGAGAGTCTTTCCTCTTGTGGCTCCTTCCTTTGGCAGCCACACAGTTTCTCGCACTCGTGGTGGCATCGTGCAGAAAGTCATGGCACCCTGCGGCCAGATCATGACCGCCCAGCTCAGCCCCCTTCCCTCCGGCTCGTGTGGCAAGGCAGTTGCTGGAAACAGGCGACCATGCGCTCCGACAACTCATGGGAACCCTGGGATACCAAAGCGTGCCAGCTTGGCTTTGTGAAATTTGCGCCGCCCTGCATAGACGTCTCTCGCTGACATGGCATGGACTGCTCCTTCTGGGGAAGAAGCCAGCCCAATTCCCCGGAAGGCGCTTCCTCCTGGCCTAGGATGAAGGTTGGGACAGTGCGCCCTTCTCGCCTCCAGAGGGGTGCACCAGGTTAGGGTTTGGATTACAAAAACACGGGGTCCTGGCAAGATTTTCAGGGTTGGAATGTGTTTAGAATGGGCAGAAATGATGAGCTGTGCAGAAAAGGCTACGCAAGGAAGGTTTTTCCAAAATTGCCCTATTTTGAGTGAAAATTTAGCCCCATTATTAGGGCTAGGAGTGTGCACCTGGTTATGGTTAGGATTACAAAAATGAGGTGTCCTGGCCTGATTTTGATGGTTGGAATGTATTTAGAATGGGCAGAAATGATGAGCTGTGCAGAGAAAGGTACTCAGGAATGCTTTTCCAAAATCACCCTCTTTTCAATGGCATTTTAGCGCTCCAGACTTCCCCAAGTGGGCACTTGTTCCCTTCCTTCACTCCCTGCCAGCACAGCTGACGGTTGGGGCTGATGAGGTGGTAATCCAAAACATCTGGCGGGTGAAGGTGTCTGGCCTCAGCGGATCCAAAGGAAAAGCTGCAGCTGCCTTAGGCTGAGTGCCAAAAGTCTCAGAACTGCAGAGTTCCACTGCTTTCGCTCCCTCGTTCCGCGGCCGGCTTGCTCGGTCCGGCTGCCACTGCCGCCCGCTCACTGGCCGCCCCGATGCTTTGCAGACGACGGCTGGCTGCAGAAGGCGGTGGTCACAAGGAAGGCGGCCCACGTCGTCGAGGAGATCCAGCTGTTCCCTGCCGGGCAGCCTGTTCTCGAGCTGCTGCTGGATGATACCCAGGCAAGCAGGGAGAGGCCGGGCAGTCCCTTTCTCGGGGGCGGGGGGGAGCATCCCAGACACACCAAGTGGGCCACCAAGGGGCCACCTGGTGGGTGGGGGCCCCTCACCCCCCACTGTGCCGCTCAGCAGAGCCAGCGAGAGGCTTGGAGCGACAGCCCCCAGCTGGTGCCTCCACCCGCCCCTCCCGCGGCTGTGCAGGAGCACCAGGCCAACGCTGGACGGGCATGCGTGCCCTGCCTCCTGTCCTGGCTGGGACTCCCGCCTTCTCTAGCAAGGCTGGGGGGATGCTCTGGGGGGCTGGGCAGGCGCTGCCGGGGAGCACCACCCGCCCAGAATGGCGTGCGGCAGTGCGGGGGGGCCTGGGCCCGGCGCCCCCTGCGCAGAACGTCCCCTGCCCATCCTCTCCTGCCCCCGCAGGGCCTGATCTATGCCGCCTCCTACGCCGTGCTGGCCCAGGTGCCGGTGGCCAACTGCACCCAGCACCGGAGCTGCGCCGAGTGCATCCTGGCCCGCGACCCACACTGCGCCTGGAGTGCGGGGGCCTGCCGGCCCTCCACCCGTGCCCACCTGCGGCCGCTGCAGCAGCAGGAGCAGCAGCCCCTGACGTGAGTGCTTGCGCCCGGGCCCTGGGGCATGGGCCCTGAGCCCGGCCCCTGCCTCCAGCCCGCTCCTCCGTCTCCCAACAGGCCCTGGCTGCAGGACGTCGACGGAGGCGATGCGCTGCGGCTTTGCCAGAGCAGCCGCGGGGAACCTGGCCCCTCCGCAGAAGAGGACGCCCCGTGCCAGCGCCTGGCGCTGCCCCCACACGCCATGAGGCGGCTGCCCTGCCCTCGGCTATCCAACGTGGCCTCCCAGCACTGGGTGCGCGCTGGCGGCTCGCTCAACAGCTCCCTGCTGGTGCTGCCCGGAGGAGAGCTGCTGCTGGTGGGCCTGCCGGGGCAGACGGGGCGCTACGAGTGCTGGTCCCAGGAGGGCCACTTCCGGCGCCGGACGGCCAGCTTCTGCGTGGAGCTTGAGGCGGTGCAGCTCGCGCCGGCCCGGGATCCGCTGGAGACCATCAGCGCGTCCAGGAGCGCCTCGCCCGGGGCGGCTGGGGAGCCATCGGCCCTGCTGGAGGGCAAGAGCTACTGGACGGAGTTCGTGGTCCTGTGCGTGCTCTTCAGCGGCACCCTGGCCCTGCTGGCCAGCCTGCTGCTGCACCGGCACCGCGGAACCTTCCTCCGGCAGGGCCCGTGCGGCCTGGGGGAAGCGCCCAAGGCCCAGCCGCCCGCGGAGAGCCTGCCCCTCAACGGCACTGGTGCGCCCGGCGCCCTCCCGGACCACAGGGGCTACCAGGCGCTGCAGGAGAGCCGGGGGCTGGGCCCCCCGCTACAGCTCGGCCCCGGCATGGCCTTCCTGGACTCCGGCCAGTGCCCCCTCAGCATCTGCGCCAGCTTTGTGGAGGTCCGGGCCCCCTCCCAGCGGCCACGCGTGCGCCTCGGCTCTGAGATCCGGGACTCCGTGGTATGAGTCTGCACTGCGCCTCCGGAGGCACCGGGGAGCGCAGAGGCCTCCCCGCCAGGCATACCCCGGCAGTGGCAAGAAAGGGTGCGGCCTAGCCTGGCAGACCACCCGGCCATACGATCCACCCTGCCAGAGCCCATTCTCCCGGGCTGGGGGGCCCACCAGGCAAAGCAGCCCCTTGGTGGAGCAGAAGGCTGGCGGGGCCCTTCTGGAGGCCCCCGGTGCCCTGGCCTGCCTGGATATGGCACCCTCCTGCCGGAGACTCCGACACACCCGGGGACGGTGCGCACGCGGGCGGCCGCAGAAGCACGCATCCTGCACGCGGAGGGGGCTGCTGGGGAAGGCACAGTTGGCGCGCCTGGGCTCCCTGGTACGGCTCGGGCAGAGCACGATTCCCAGGCAAGGCCGTGTGTGCCATGCCTGGAGGTGCCCGGGCCCTCCTTCCACAGCGGAACAGCAGCACCCACCATCCCTGAGCACAGGAGGCGGCCCCTCTGTGGGGGCGCCAGTCTCTCCCGGTTGGACTCCGCTCGGGCTGTGGCCCCGAGCGGCCCCTGGCCCCGCCAGATGCGACAGCCCTGCAGAAAGCTGTGGGCGCCTGCTCCGGGCCAGCTCCGCTCATGCCACCAGCCCACTGCTCCTCCCCTGCCTTGCCGCAGCCCCGGGAGCCACTCCCTTTCGAGGTGGGCCTGCCGAGGGCCGTGGGGCTCCCAGAAGCAGCTGCCTGCAGCCCAGCCAGCTGCCCATCCTCGCTCGGGCTCCCCTCAGGCAGCGTCCCCCACGGCCTCTGCTCACCGGCCCTTTTGGGCTCCTTGCGTCGCACAAGGAAGGGAAGCTTCGGGGAGGCCCAACAGAACTTTTGAAAAAACACTGGAAAACAGACAGAATTAAATCCCATCCTCAACATGCTGAGCTTATCCTTTGTCTCCAAAAAATGGTGAATGGCTTTCTCAAATCTATGTGGCTGACCTGCCCAGAGCTGAGTCCCGGCTTCCTTTCAGCCCGCAGACCGTTCTTTGGCAAGAAGCACTTTATTCCCAACAAAGCAGACAAACCAACAACCCACAGAGGAACAGCCTCTGAGCATGCACAGAGCAGTTTGCTGAACCCAAACCAGACTATTTCCAAGAACTCCCCTTTCCAGCAACCCCGAGCTCTGCCCCCTTGCGTGTGTCTCCCTGGAGAAGGACCGGCCTCCCGGACCCAAGCAGGCCCTCCAGCTGCTTAGCCCTTCTCTCCCGAGGCCACGTGGTGAAGTCCGGGTTGGACCAGACTCCTCTCGCTCCTCTCCCAGGTCCCCTCCTGACACTTTCAAACCTTGCTGGCCCCAAATTCCACCTCCAAAGGGATAAGCGCTCCCTCCTCCCCAGTCTCTGCCCACAGAGCTCACCTGCCAGCCCTCCCCCGAGGGCAGCAGTGCCATCCTGGCCCAGGAAAGCACGCCAAGAACAACAGCTGCTTTTCCTTCCAACACTCCCATCAAACAAGGGCATCGATTTTAGTTTTTCATGTCACAAAAATGCTTCTGCCCATTTCCTCAGCTGCCATCTCTTCCTTTTGGAAAATGCTGCCCTCTCGGTTCATGTCTCCCTAGCAAGAGCCAGGCATGCAAGGGCCCGCACTGCAAGACTGGTTGTCCCACATTGACAAGGCGGAGGTGGGCCGGGCAAGGCAGAGGACTTGGCTGAAACAGGCAACTTAGCGTGGATAAAAAGCATATGCTTAAAGGAATGTAAATACTACAGACTACGAAATAACGAAGCAAAAAACTAATCGGAATGTGAGTGCACCAACTCTGCAGTTCATCTCAGACTGAATCAACCCCTTTACTAGAAACGAGCCTGGCTGAAATCGTCAAGGAAGCCGTGGTGGCCCGAAATCGGCCGAGGCTTGTTTTCATCCCTGGCGCATGCATAAGGCACCCTGGCTCGCTTCCAGAAAGTCCGTTAACCCACCGCCCCAGTTCGCACACACAAGCCACTGCAGCTTGTTTTGATGGTGTGAACCAGGTTGTTGAGTTAAAGGACTGTCTACAGAGATGAACGGGTACCATTTGTCATATATGAGTATTGTCACTGAACCTAGGCATTTTATTTTCACCTGATGGAAAGAAAGTGTGCTGGTCTACCCAAATATCAAGCCTGCATCAGCTGAACAGCCGAAAGGATGCTCCAAAGACACAGTTTTTGTCTTTGCTTCATCTTCAGCCTCTCCCACAAACAGAATGGAGTCAGAAGGAATAAAACTGGAGGGGGAGGGAGGGGGCCCACTTGTCCTGCCTGTGTTAAGGGAGTAAATGTTATGCAAGCCAGTGGAACTTCTTTCCAAGCAGATACGGGGAGGAATTTTGTTCACTTTCAAGTGTTGCGGGAAATATTTTAAAATATTCTTGCTCTAAGTAAGAATATGCAAAATACATACACTTAGGCCAAGAGATGCAAAGCTCACTCCCAGGAGTGAAACTCTGTAAATGCGATTTTATTGAGATGCAAATTAGCATGATTCAGTCATCAGGTTTGTGCCACTGGCCAGTAATTCTGCAGAGTCTCAGCAGGAGGGCAGGCTGCAGCAGGGCCCCAGAGCTGCGCACCCTCCCCAAAAGTGCACACGGCTCAGCTTGACTTCCCCACCCTTCGAAGGCTCCTTGGGGCAGCTTCTTCTGCGGAACGGACCCGCTCCTCCCAGCTCGCTCGCTCGCTCGCTCGCGGCCAGCCCAGCTGAGGGCCTCCCAGGGCACCCCCAACCCCAGGCCTTTTGGTGGCTTCCCAGCTTTTCTGCAGGCCTTCCCCATTTTTAAAAGTGGTCTCCTGGGGCTTAATGATTGGCACGAAAAATTTCATTCCACAACGGACTGGTGCTTCTGGCTCTGCCTCTTGTGCCATTGGCCTGCTCGCCACCGGAGCTTCTCCGAGTGGAACCGGGTGCATGGGCTGCAAGAGGGTCCCTGCACCAGCGCTCGGCGCTAAGGAGAGCATGCCACAGCCCGCCCGTAGCACCAGCGGAGCGCTCGGTCCCTTCTCAAAGGAAACAGTGCCCCACGACAGGCAGGGCTCCAGCTGCAGCTTTTATCCATATAAACGTAGTAACCGAGCAAGGCCGCAACACATCTTGAAAAGTGGCCTTGGAACCCCGGTGACGCCTCTTCCAGCTCTCCTGACTGGAGCTGCAGAACTGACCCCAGCGAGAGACCAGGCTGGGCTCTGCTCCCCGCAGCTGCCCCAGGCAGCTGATCCACGTGGGAAGTGAGAGAAGTCCAGTCTCACGCTGGGAAGGAGCAGCTGCAGAGAGGCGAGTTCCCCCAGCAGACGAGCCCAGGTGGCAAGGGATCCGTGAGGCCGCAGCCAGCTTGCAAGGAGCCGGCCCCGCAGCAGACACCGCAGCCTTTGCAGGACCGGCCTTCCTCCACTGCTGCGGCAAGGCTGGGCGACCTGGAGCCAGTGGCCTGCAGAGTCCAGGTGGGAAGACTGCCAGGAAGACAGAGAGTGCCTTCCCACTCCAGGAGCACTGAGGCCACTTGGGACCCCTGCCACAAAGGCTGTCTTTGCTCCAGCTCCTTGGCAGAAGCAACAACTGCAGGAAAACGGGCCAAAACCACGGCATGGGCACCTCACTGGCCTCGTGCTGCATAAGGGACAGGAGTGCAGTGTGGATGCAGCCCAGCTGGAAGAGGGAGCATTGCCTTTTCCTCAGAGACATGGCGCAGGCGGGTACAATTTGGGACTGAATCATAGCACAATTTTGAAGGAACTAGAAAAGAAAGAGAAAGGCACTTGTTTACCAGCTCCATTGCCAACAGCTCCTCCTGTGGACATGCTTCCTGGAGGCCCTGCTCCACCCCGCCCTCAAGGAACTTGGTCAACCAGGAAGTGCTGCTCAACAAGAAGCAAGTACCTGGTGAAGTCCGGTGATCGGGAAATGATGTGCTGGAATTCAGACAGGTTGATGGTCTCATCTTTGTCTATATCCGACTCTTCCAGGATCTGCAGAAAACGAAGGAGCCAGCTTGGACAAGGCTCATGTCAAGCCAAGGGGACGCAAGAGCAAGTCCCCACTTGGCTGTGAAGTTCATTGGGCAACCTTACTGGTTGGGAGAGGATAAATCAGGAAGGAGGGTCATGTGAGCAATCTTGGGGTCCTTGCAAGGGGCAAAAGAGGTAGGATGTGAATGTCGCAGATGAGAACAGCATGCCCTCTTCACCATCGGGACTCACATTCTGGATGAGCTGGTCCATCTCCACCGAGCTCAGCCGGCTTTCTTCTCCTTCCCCAGTCAGGCAGTTCACCAGATTCTCCAGATCCTTCTTGTCCAGAGTGCCGTCATCATCGAAATCTGGCAGGAGAAAGCAGGAGGAGGCCCATCTCAGACAGTGCCTGCTGAGCTGAAAAGCACTCAGTGACCGGCCACCTCGAAAGGTGGCACCCAGACGCCCCTCAGGGCTTTCTAGAAAGAGAGCTGGGAGGCAGTTGCTCTGTCCACAGACCCCTCCCCCCAGCTGGCACTCACCAAAGATGCGGAAGGCATAGTGCGACTTCACTTCCAGTGTCGCTGAGTCGCTGAAGGCACTCAGCAGGTCCAGGAAATCCTCAAAGGACAGGCTGCCCTCGCCATTGTCCGCCGTGGAGAAAACCTGGCAGATGCGATCCCGGAAGGGGTTTGCCTGAGGATACAAGCAGGAGGGCTAGGGCCTGGAAGAGGGGAGCCCCACTGCTCCGGAGAGAGTGAGCCTCGGCTACCAACCAGGAAGCCACAGTGCTGGGGCCCCACTTGGAGGCCCACCCAGATGCCCGTAAGGACGACGCTCTGCTTTTTCGCAGCTGACTTGCGCCAGGCAATGCAGGGGCAAGGGCCACCTGCTGCCTTTCAGGAGCTGTGAATGCTACGCATTTCCTTCAGACCTCCACTGCTGGCGATACTGCCTGTGGATGATGGGAGCTGTAGCCCAAAGCATCCTGAAATAAGGAGTTGCCGATCCCTCCTTCACCGGCAAGCTAGACCCACAAACCCACGTAGGATGCCGACCGCGCACGGCTGAGGTGGGCTGAGCGCCCCCGGACTCTGCCCCTCCGGCCACGGCCCGGCCGCTCCCGGGCGCCACGTACCCGCAACTCGGGCAGCAGCAGGACCTGGCTCTTGGGGACCCGCTCCTCGAACGCCCTCTCCCGCCGCTCCTTGGGCAGCAGCTCGCTGAACCGTCGGTGCGCCCTGCAAGGGAAACGCGCGGGCGGCTTGGTGCGCGCCTTGCGGAAGCGCCGGCGGCGCCAGGGCGGGGCGGCCTCTGGCCCGGCTGCGCGCAGGCTGCGTCGCCGGCGGCCCTTCGCGAGCGTCCTGCCCGCGCCGCCATGACGCTCTGGTGGCCACCGGAGCGGGCCGTTCCCCGGGCTCCCGCCAGCCATTCCCCGCGGCGCCCGGGCTCCCCGCCAGTACTCACAGCAGGATCTCCGGCTTGCTGAGGAAGGTCAGCTCCTGCAAAGAGGCGAGCGCGAGGTTAGCCCGGGTCCGCGCGCCTCGACCCCCCC